CTCTCTCTCTCGCTCTCTCTCCTATCAGTGTGTAGTCGAGTCATAACAACCGTACATTCAAATCGACTTTTAATTATAAATAAGATTATGATAAAAATAATTTATTCAAATGGCATACAAAATGCTATTTATAAATGCATGTTGAATTAGAATATAGTTACAAATTATGATGATCAATTAACATAAAATTGTGTTTATAATAAAATAATAATTAACAAAATAAATTAATTATTCTAACGAGTTAGTATACATTACAGTATATTCTGATAGGTTAACTGTTAATTAAAATAATAATCCTAGCATTAACTTTACCAGTGTATAGTGTACTTGTACTTAGCGTATAGTGTACAAGGAATTGCAAAATAATAAAAGTACCAAATAAGAACCTTGATGTTATAGAAAACTATATTTAAAGTACAGTATCATACACTAGCTCAAAGCTCGATAATTGATTGCATCTCAATAATACAAAAGGGGGTACATGGTGACTTTAAAAACCAAAACAATAACTAAATAATGAATAATTTATTTGGAAAAAACTCATAAATCTGTATAAAAAATGCTATGAAATTAAACAACAAATTAAAACATAAATCACTACAAAATGAGAAATTAATGTTGAGATCTCGATCACAATACACAGACAGACACAACACACACACACACTGGCGTTTACGCGTGCATTAGTTTATGCGTATTCAGGGCCATAATGTTGTGGCCCTTCCAGTGGCAGTGTTCGCACTCAAAGGCCGGCAAATTGTGATCTTTGGTGATGTGAACCCGAAGTCGGGCCCTATCGCGGAACTTCTTCGTACAGTACTGGCACTTGAATGGATACAAGTCCACCGCTGGCGGCGGTCGACCCCTGGGTTTGGGGGGCGGTCTCCCCGGGGGCGGCGCCGCCGCTGTAGCCGATGCCGAGGCCACGGCGGCCGCGTTGGCCGACGACGATTGGGCCAATAGGTAGTCGTAATCGATGGCACCACCAGTGGTCGAATTGGTGGGCGTCGAGCCACCCGTCCCGCCGTTGATGGCAATCATCTCGTTGTAGGCGGTCATGAAGTTGAACGCCGGGTAGTGGTTCTCCATTTGGGAACTACTGTTTTGCATGTCTTCATCGCCATCACCGGCATCGACTTCACCGCCATCGCCGTCGTCATCAAAGTCCATACCGTAGCCGATGAACTCTTCGTCTGCGTCGACGGCCAGCGGTTCTTGTTTTATATTCGCTATTAAGAGAAACATACCATTCATTAGCATAAACACCGGCATAACTGATCCACAATTACCTGTGGTATTGTCTGTGAGCGGCGTTAACGGCGAATCCTCCACCGGAAGCGATACTAAAACACATAAAATCAAATAAATTGATAGTTAAAATCGTTGCTTAAGAAACAGTTGATCCAACAGTCAATCGGATAGCAAATATCATACCGGAAGCGTTGGGATCGGTAAACATGGACAAAACATTGGCCGAGTAATTGCGGTACATGTGTGACATCAAATTAGAGATATTGGTCGCCCCATTGGCCGCCACCTCTTGACCGCCATCACCANGTTAATGCTAGGATTATTATTTTAATTAACAGTTAACCTATCAGAATATACTGTAATGTATACTAACTCGTTAGAATAATTAATTTATTTTGTTAATTATTATTTTATTATAAACACAATTTTATGTTAATTGATCATCATAATTTGTAACTATATTCTAATTCAACATGCATTTATAAATAGCATTTTGTATGCCATTTGAATAAATTATTTTTATCATAATCTTATTTATAATTAAAAGAAGGTTCTTATTTGGTACTTTTATTATTTTGCAATTCCTTGTACACTATACGCTAAGTACAAGTACACTATACACTGGTAAAGTTAATGCTAGGATTATTATTTTAATTAACAGTTAACCTATCAGAATATACTGTAATGTATACTAACTCGTTAGAATAATTAATTTATTTTGTTAATTATTATTTTATTATAAACACAATTTTATGTTAATTGATCATCATAATTTGTAACTATATTCTAATTCAACATGCATTTATAAATAGCATTTTGTATGCCATTTGAATAAATTATTTTTATCATAATCTTATTTATAATTAAAAGAAGGTTCTTATTTGGTACTTTTATTATTTTGCAATTCCTTGTACACTATACGCTAAGTACAAGTACACTATACACTGGTAAAGTTAATGCTAGGATTATTATTTTAATTAACAGTTAACCTATCAGAATATACTGTAATGTATACTAACTCGTTAGAATAATTAATTTATTTTGTTAATTATTATTTTATTATAAACACAATTTTATGTTAATTGATCATCATAATTTGTAACTATATTCTAATTCAACATGCATTTATAAATAGCATTTTGTATGCCATTTGAATAAATTATTTTTATCATAATCTTATTTATAATTAAAAGAAGGTTCTTATTTGGTACTTTTATTATTTTGCAATTCCTTGTACACTATACGCTAAGTACAAGTACACTATACACTGGTAAAGTTAATGCTAGGATTATTATTTTAATTAACAGTTAACCTATCAGAATATACTGTAATGTATACTAACTCGTTAGAATAATTAATTTATTTTGTTAATTATTATTTTATTATAAACACAATTTTATGTTAATTGATCATCATAATTTGTAACTATATTCTAATTCAACATGCATTTATAAATAGCATTTTGTATGCCATTTGAATAAATTATTTTTATCATAATCTTATTTATAATTAAAAGTCGATTTGAATGTACGGTTGTTATGACTCGACTACACACTGATAGGAGAGAGAGCGAGAGAGAGAGAGAGAGAGAGAGAGAGAGAGAGAGAGAGAGAGAGAGAGAGAGAGCTATATTTTGAAAGAATTTGAATTTTACAAAAATATTTACACAGAGATAAAAGTGATAAACTTTTTACACGGAAACAAAATTATGATAATATTTACGACAAACTATGGTTATATTGAGAACGAACATGTCTACTGTGATGGTAAACAACTTGGTGATCAGCCTAACCATATTGTATTAGTTGTTAGTGTACATTACAGGTTGATTTAGTGTACATTGTTTTTGGACCTGGATAAGATTACTACAGTTGTTGAGACACACTTCAACCACACACTTGTGATCATACTATCAATAATCGTAGGGAAAGTTGATTACGATTATTATGACGACAATTGTATTTAACGTATAAAATAATAGTTCACATGATATGTGGCCACACTATCTGCACAACTGTCTGGCATTAAAACTCAATTAACAATTAATATTTGTTACTAACTTAACTAAAAATAAGTAATAGTTTTGTGATAACAAGTGGTTAAAAAACTAGAGGAATAATTGCGGAACCATTGAAAGCGATGCCCAAACGGAAGGTAAGGTTTGGGTTTGATGTCCACCACTATCAACACGAAGAAGTAGATCCAGAGGTCGTACGGCACCGGTATATCACGTGCGAGAAGTATGTCTACACTTTCATCATCTGTTACATACATTTAGCGTTCGTATGTATGAATTAAATATTTACAAACAGTATAATTAATTTGCAAAAACTCAACCATGTTTAGTGTAAAAAATTTTAAGTTGTTTGAAAATGGATTTTGTTATCTCAATAAATATCAAACTAGCTCTACATTAACCCTTAAAGCTTAAACTATAATTATAGACGTTGTAAATAAACTGGGAAACTAATCTCCCAGCAGTTTGTGCATAAACTGGGAGATTAATATCCCACGCTTTAGTGTGTTTTATGCTGGGAGATAAATCTCCCAGTTTATGCAGTTTAATGCTGGGAGATTAATCTCCCAGTTTATGCAGTAAGGGCAGATTAAAATTAGCACTATTTATACTGTAGGGAAAAAGTCACATAACACATAAACTGGGAGAACAATATCCCAAACTTTAATTTAACTATGATAATTAATTAATCATATAATTTATGAACATATAATTTTACCTATATTTAAAGCTAACAATTTATGAGGCATTAATGGATTTTTTCCCGGTTAGCACTCTTCATTGATTTTTAATTGAAATTCAAAGTGGTAATGGGAGACTAGTCTCCCAGTTTAAGCTTCTAGGGTTAAACCTGAGTTAAAGCATCTGTATTACAGCCCAATCAATCCATACATAAATTGTAGCAAATTCAATGAACTTTCAATTGGCGATCAAATTAATTCACTATTAGAATTTAAATTACCTTGTGTATTACAAATGGGTAATGGCAGTAGTCTATACTGTAAATACATTAATTTTGCAATTATCTATGATGGTTATTGTTTTACTATTGTACCAAATGTTGGCTATCATGGGCAAGACTTTGACACAATAAAACATTTTATTTTATTTAATGATAATAGTTTTCAGCTTAGTAGATTTCTAATTTTTGCTCATTCAATAAGTGAAGGTATCTACCATAATCTTAATAGGGAATTTATTATATTTTGGTCAGATCTTTATAAGTTGAATTTTTTGAAATATAAAAAGACCATTGTCAATTATTATAAAAGCAATAAACGTTGTAACGATAAACACGATAGAATAAGTTTTATTCTTTTGTGCGTTCAGTCACTGTACAAGCAATGGAACTCAACATTATATCCAAGTAATTTATTTTACGATATTAATACACCAGGGTCTCACCATACATATTTTAATGATTTAAAATATGATGAATTTTTACATTATTGTAATACAAAGATATCCAGACATATTGTGCAATGTACAGAATACTATTATGATCATATATATTACAGATATCGAGTGGATATCCCCGATGGCTATTCCCTCGTTATATACTACGGTTCAGAGCCGACGACTGTATACGA